ACATATTACTGGATTTTGCTTTCTAATCCACTCTTCTGTTTTGTGAGTGAGTTCATCCCATTCACATGTACAGTTAAGATAGTTAATTGTTTGTTTACCACCATTTTTTCCATATACTTTTTCTTCTCTTTACCCTAACTCTTATTATAGGTTCCTACCTTTTCTTTCTTTCCTTTTAACTACCTCTTCATTCTCTTCTTTAAAGGTTGGTGACTAATCCCTCCCTGAATCTACCTTCCCTTTTACATTCCCTTTTCCCCTCTTCCTCTTGCTTTTTCTATGACTGTTGAGTTGAATGTACTCCAACACTAAATTCTTTGTGTGTGTATGTGGATGTATATGTTCTGCTCTCTTTTGACCAGCTTAAATGAAAGTAAAGTTCAAGTGATTCCAGCCCCTTCAAGACTTCCATGTTTGTATATCCTTCTTCTTGCATACCCAATTATATGAGATGTTCCCCCATCTTTCCTCCAATTTCCCCCCGATGTATCCTTTCCCATTCCCCTTTTCTTTCTTCTTTTGGCATCATGAAATCTTAACACAGCCTTTTTAAGGTCTTCTATCTTATTTGAATATCTCTGAACTTTTATGATATTAGATTTCTGAAAAGAACTCTTTTATCATTCCATTCCTCCCTTAGAATATAAACAGTTCATCCTTATAAAGTCCCTTCCACTTGTTTGTTGACTTGTATTTACCTTTTTAATTTTCTCTTCACTTTAAGATTTGTGTGTTGAAGTATCTTTTCAGCTCTAATTTTTTTCATTAGGGATGTTTGAAAGTCTTCTATTTAATTGAAGATCCATTTTTCCCTTGTAAAATTATTCTAAATTTTGCTGGTTAAGTTAGTCTTCCCCACCCCTGCTCTAGGGTAATTTAATTCCCACTTAGTTTAGTAACCACCAAGTGTATGGTGGTGTCTTTGAGAAGTAGACTAAGCTAAAAATCTAAGACTTCTTTCAGGTATAGATAACTAAGAATAGCAAGGATGACTATATAACTATTTTCTATGTGATTTCAAAATTTATCTATATTATTTTATTGTAATTGAACATGTATTGAACAAGCACTAATTTCTAAAAAGTAACATACATGTTCAAAGATAGTACAAACAGAAACAGAATTCTAGGTATGATTTAAGTATTTTTATTGTTAAACTGAATTTTAATGTGGTCTTTGCTGACATAAACCTTTGGCTATCTTCTGTTATCTTGTCTCCCTTATGGGCTATCTCAGAGCTAATTCACAGCTGTAGCACATTTGTTCCAGACCATTCTCAACTGACTGCCATCAAATGTTAACAGTATTCCTTAACACCCCCCTCACCCCCCACACCAGCCAATATTACTGTCGCAATTAATCAATCAGATGAGTTCTCCATAATTTGGAAAACTGGTTCTAATTTTTTAGGCAAAGAATAACTGAGACTCTTAAGTTAAAACCACTTGTCTCAACCTGTTAACTCTCATCTCATCCACAGAAGGTCCAGGCAACAGTAGAAAGACATTCTTTTGGAGACCCTCAAACTAAAAGAGACCTTGATGAAGGGTTCTTCTCCCTCAGTGACTATATGTCCCCTACCCTCACCCCTTTCTCCTAGCCAAAGCAAGAAAACTTTTTTTCCTTTTCTGAACTTTCAAAACAGAACAGAATAAGGTTGAAACAAATGTTTGCAAAGGTTTCTTCACCTTATGTTCATGAACAAACCAACTCCCTTCAATATTTCCATTTCCTGAAATCATCTGATAAATAATTGTGTTTGACTATCTTCAGCTCTTCTTTTCAAATGAGGTATGTAAATGATTATTATTAATTTTTAAAATTTTATTTATTTTTGTTACATATTAAGTTCTAAACTATCTCCATTCACACATCCCCATCCCACACTCAAGAAGTCCACCATTTGATACAGATATATATGTAGACATAGATAGATAGATAGATAGATTGATTGATAGATTGATATATAGATATAGACACATATATATGTATACATATATATGTAAAATCATATTATACATACTTCTATTTACCATTTCTTTCTCCAGAGGTGGCTAGCATCTTCCTTCATAGGTCCTTTGTAGTTGATTTGGATATTGATAAAACTCAGAATAACTTAGTTGTTCACAGTTGTTCTTCAGACAATATTGCTATTACTACGTATGTTCTGTCGGTTCTGCTCTTTTCACTCTTCATTATTTCATGCAAGTCTTTCCATGTATTTTCTAAAGTCAACCAGCTCATTATTTCATACGTAACAGCAGTATTCCATCACAACTTGTTTAGCCATTCCCTGTTGAGGGGAATTCCCTCAATTTCCACTTCCTTGCTACCACAAAGAGAGCTGCTATAAATATTTTAGGACATCTAGGTTCTTTTCCTTTTTCCCTGATCACCTTGGGAAACATACCTAATAGTATATTGCTAAGTTAATGGGTATACACAGTTTTATAACTCTTTTGTTAATATAGAATATTAGCATTTCAAAACTAGAACAGAACTTAGAGATCATCCAGTCTAACCCTTTCATTCTATGGAGGAGGAAACTAAGACCAAAAGCGGTTAAATGGCTTATTCAGATCACTTAGCTAATTAGCTCTAATTCTTCAGCTAAACTCTCAGGTCAGTGTTCCAACTATACTGTGCTGCTAAAACAGAAAACATTTCCTTTTTTAAATTTTCTGTTTATATAGTTTGTTTTTACATCACTTTCATTTCCAAATTTATGCTTCTCTTCTGCTCTACCTAAAAAACGCTCCTACTTGTAACAAATTTAAAACCAACAAGAAACAAATGGGGAAGTGGGGGCTGAAGGGGTGGTAAAGCAATTCAGCAGAACTAACCACCATAGCGCTGTAATGGTGTATGCTATTTGCTACACCCATAGTCCCTACCTCCTCAAAGAAGATGGTGAGTTTTCCCATCTCTTCTCTGGGAACTTGCTTGGTCATATTCCCATAGTTACATAGCTTTCAGGTTCAGAAAACACCATTTTCCAGAGACATTTTTGGACAGATCAAATAAGGGGACTAGAGGCATGTTCCCATAACTAAAAATTAGTGAATTATCATGAGTCAATTGGAGAATGGCTGAACAAGTTGTAGCATATGATTGTGATGGAAATACTACTGTGCTATAAGAAATGATGAGCTCTATGATCTTAGAAAACCATGAAAGGCTTGCAGGAAATAATGAAGAGTGAAATGAGCAAGACAACATTGTATACAGTAATGGCAATATTGTTTTAAGATTGACTTTGAGTGAATAAGTCATTTTGACTATTAGAAATTTCCAAATTAGCTATAAAGGACATATAAAGAAAGATGCTATCTGCATTCAGAGAAACAACTGATTAATAGAAATATGTATAGAATAATTTTCCATATATGTGTATGGAAAGAAAAAAAAGAAATTTACATGATAACTACTATATATTTAAAAGGAATGGCAAGTTGTACAAAATAAATTTTCAGTGTCATGTGCAATTATCTATTTTGTTATGCTATATTATAGAAATGCTTGTTTTATTTCATAAATTAAAATTAAAATTAATTTTTTAAAAATTATCATGAGTCCTTAGGCTTATTGCCTCACTATGCAAGCATGTGATATAGTGGAAAGCCCACAAGCACTAGAGACATAGGACTTGGGTATAAATCCTACTTTTTAACTTGGCTACTCATGTGACCTTGGGCCAGTCACCTAACTTTCCTTGTTTTTCAGTTTCCTCATCAGTAAAATGAGGTTAGACCAGGTAGCTTCTGAGGTTCTTTCCAGCTCCAAATCTATGATTTTGTGATTCTGTATTTATATTACTTCTCCTTCTATAGGAAAGCATTTGAATAACCCAAGTAATCAACCTTCTGATTTCTTTGTTGCTACCTATAACCTTAAGAAAGTTAAAAATAAGAGTCAGTTCTTTCATCACTTTATATTTATATGATTTACTTTATATGATTCTTTCCTAATCTCCCCATTCATCACCCCTCCACTCTGACTTTACCTCTCTATGTGTACTAAACCCAATGGTTGTACATTTCAGCAATGTCCTTGTTTATATTCTAACATCCCTTTGTCTGCTCAACTTTCCACCACTATTATTGCCCTAAGAAGTTGATCTAGATCTTTTCCATTCATTCTAAGATCTCAGTTTCACACCTGCACCACTTTCCACAGATGGTTTCATCTCCTACTTTGCCTAAGAAAATTAAGATTTGAAATAGCCATTGTGAAAACAATGGGGAAGCAAGAAAAGATTAATAAAAAGATTTCAGAATTCATTTGTAATTAAATAACTTAAATAAAGTAACTGAATATCCTCAATGCTGTGTCTTTCCCCAGGAATTTTTGTAGGAAGAAAAGGTTTGCTCAGGAAATTGCAGATGTGCAAAACAAGGCAGAAGGAGGCTAGTAGTTGAGAAAAATACTGGGTCGGGAGGAAAACTAAACATTGGCCAGGTAACACATTAGTACTTGAGAACCTTAGAGTAGTTGGGAGAAGGAAAACAGTCAGAAAGACAGACACATACAATTAAGTGGCTATTACCTACTACCACTACCATATGGGTTTTTTGTTTGTTTTGATGTGGTGGTGGTGGGTTTTTTGGAGGCAATTGAAGTTAAGCGATTCACCCAGGGTCACACAGCTAGTAAATATCTGAGGTCTCGTTTGAACTTAGGTCCCCCTGACTCCAGGGCCAGTGCTGTATGTACTGTGCCACCTAGCTGCTCCTAACCACTATTGTACGTTGATACTTCCCTTTTAAGCTGCTGGCCGAGACCCTGTAGGTAGAATTCAAGGCTAAGAGGGTACATGAGCTGATCGGTGGCCAAGAATAGGTAAGCCGAGAGGTGAATGGCTCCGAAGGAGAGTAAGTAGGTAGCAAAGAGAGAATAGTGTGCATAGGAGAAAGGGGTGGTAGTTAATAGTTACCATGGAATGCAACATTAGTACAATTTTCATTGTAAAAGTATTTTCTTTGGTTGAATTATTTTGGCAGGTGGAAGGATCATCCTGAATATCCTTTTCATGAGGAATACTGACATCTGAAAACACCTATACTGATTTTTACTCTTGGATGTGCCAAAAACTTGAACCAGAAGATTCCTTCCAGTCCAAATGGAAAAGGACAATAGAGCTATACTTCTCTTTCACATATTCTAACTGATTGTTTATTGTTAATGTAGGACTAATGTTTTTTGAATCTGTCAAAATCATAAAGCAACAAATGATTAATACACTAGTATAACCTCCTGGTGGGTTTGACTGTACCCTGAAGGACACCCCTGTGATTCTATGTACAGGCTGGGAGGCCTGACTCCTGAGTGGGTTAGAAACAAGAGACAGAGAAGAAACGGGGAGACGAGATGGAGAGACAGAGAGAAGGGGGAAAAAGAGAGAATAGGAGAAGGCAAGGCACAAACTTTGAGTGGAGAATGGGAGAGCTTCTAAAATGGATAGAAAAGCCAGCACCACCACATGTGTCTTGATTCTCAGCTCTTATATCCCCAAAGAACGGAGAAGACTTGCTGAGTGAGGTTCTTTTTCTCCCCAGTTGAGCTGAAAAATCATCTTACCTCCAGATCACAGAAATCCCAACTCTTAAGTGTCCTATCAACTCAACAAATCTGTACGGCTTCCCTGATTACTGTCTTACTAGCTTACTTTGATAAATATGTTTGCTTAGTATCGATGACAATCTCTTTTGTAATAAGTATATGCTGGGGAGAGGAAAGCTAAACCAGTCAAGCTTAAACTGTTACCTTCTAGGTAGGTAATTTCCTAGGTAAGGCAGAGCTACTCTCTCCTTAGAGTAGCCAGGAAAAGTAATTTCATCCAGAACCTCTCCTCCTTCAAAACAAAGAAACAAACAAACAAAACATACCCTTAGACTTCAAATGTCTGATGTGTAAATGAGAGATATAATTCTAAGCCCCAAACCCTGCTGAAGATGGGAGAGCCAGGGATACCTGCCCAGACATGGCTTTCCTACCCATTACAAAGATAGAAATCCAGCCTTCCTGAGAAACCTTCCCATCCCAGTCTGTTTGTACCTGCCCCTCCCTCCACCTCTAGTTCAATTGTTATGCTAGTATACTCTGAGTCCCAGGTGTCAAAGCCCTAACGGTGTATACATTTCATTAGAATTTAGGTACTAGCAAAACTGATCTAAGGATCAACCTTCAAAAGAGGATACCTAGTGACAAAGGACACTCTAATCAAAATACTACTATAACAGAGAGATATGTGAGGCCCCTTTCCCCTCCATTATTGTGAAATAGCAAACATCCAAAACTAATATTCAGAATTTCAGCACAAAACAATAATTAAGAGGGCAGGTTTTAGATTGAAGAGGAAAGTAAAAAATTCGAAAGGAGAATTTGGGTTTGTATCGAAAGGCAAGGATAGATTCAAAGCATTGGATGTACTAGATTCACATTCCAGAAAAAGAGTGTGCGGGAGAGGGGCAGGCGATATACTGTGCAATGTGAAATCTCTCCAAGAAGGAAAGAATAAACCCTAGTCTATGACAATCAAATGAAATAAACTAGCTGCATCCAGCCTGGACTAGGGTCTGTCATTAATTCACTAGCTGCCTGCTTGGGGTGGAGATCAATGGGGGAACGGGAAGAGCTATACAGGGAAAATGCTGTATCATAGTCAATTGCTTAGTAATAATGCTTAGTTATGGAACAGGTACATTCCTGAGATGTTTGTTAGAAAGAGGATTTCATTATATTGACCCTTTTGTTCCCTTTGACTCAATTACGAATTTGGAAATACCTTAGCCTAGTGGATAGAGGGCCAAGCGTAGTCAGAAAAACCTAGATTCAAGACCTGCTTCTGATTTGTCCTGGCTGTGTGACCCTGCAAAGTCACAGACTCTCAGGCACTGAGACATCCCTTAATTGCAAAGCAAGGACAAGCAATACTTAACAGGCTGTACGTTTCAGAGAAGGCATTAACTGAACTAGAAATAGGTGTTTTCTCACCCCAGAGTTCCATTGACCAATGAAGTCATGCTTGGCCTTGGTGGCAGCCTGAAAAACCTCTAGTACAAGGAACTTAGCTATTCTTGAGGGTAAGGCTGCTTCTATTCTAGATAAACTTCTCCTCCTTCCTGCTCTCCTCAACCTTCCCCTTCTCTTGAACCCCCCATATCTAGAATCTTCCTTCCTGGAAATTTCCAGATTCTTAACTATATGACATTCCCTATTTTGTGAATGTGATGTGAAACCAAGGGTGTGCTGGTAAAGCCAGCTCAAAGCAGCTCCAGAGAACCAATGGTTAAATTTTCAGTGTGAGCATTTATACCTGGGAAATCAGCAAACACCACAAATCAGTGCTTCTTTGTTGTTTTGTTGATGGTCTAGACTAAAGAATGTGATGGACAAAATGTCAATAAAGCATATTAAACTTAAAAGTGTGGGTACATACATTTTGGGGGTAGAGTTTGCAGCACACGCCGATGTTGTTCTATAAACATTGTTAGGGCTCAGTAGAAGTGCAGAAGAAGATTAAGGTAATAAAGTCATCATCGGATTGGAGATCTGGTGACTGTAGGCTAATAAAATGATAACAATAACAGCAAACACCAATAATAACTGCCCTTTACGTAGCGTTTTAAGGCTTACAAAGTGCAAATCTCTATCCATTATCTCATCTGAGTCTTTCAACACCACCTCTACTGGCAGAGCCTTTGCATCAGAGTCTGCCTGTCACGTGCTCATTGACACCCCTTCTCCTCCCACTGTGGTCTCATGATTATCTCACTCAAGGCCTGGATTTCCCCACTACCAACATTCCAGATAGATTCTACACTTCCAGGTATCTGTTTGTGTCCCTGTGTCCCAAATGACCATGATCCTGAGATATCACTGTCTGCTCTTTCTCGGACTCTACGGGCTCCTGGTTGTCTTCAGTGAATCGCCTTGCCTTATGTGAGGGTAAAATGTATCTAAAACAAAGCCCAAAACTAAACCTCTTAGCATTTGGGGCTGACTTGATTCTTCTGTGAAAATGTTTAAGTCCCCAGAAGGCAGCTACAACAGACTGAGACAATCTTTCTCTGCACAATATTTTGGAATTCAGACAATCAAATTCGATGATTTAGCTCGCCCTATGAAAAGCAATATTAAATTACTCAAAGCCCCATCCATCTCTAGCCAATTGTCTGGGCAAACTCTTCCATATCAGAAATCTGGAAGCAAACCTTCGTCATTGCTTCCTCTGTATTGATATATGCTACATGAGGCTGGCACTAACAAAAAGCTGTAATTCCTAGCCTGTGCCCACGGTTTGGTGCCAATGCAAGGGAAGGATCTCTACCATGCCATCTCTTTGCAATCACTATCCTATCTTAATCTAACTCTCACCTGTCAGGCCCTCCTCCAACCCAGTTACCAACGAGCTCATGCCCTCACCCTCCCCATTTGCCCATACTGAGTCCCTGTCAGATTATGGTAGGAACAATAGCCTAACTTCTCTCCCCATGCAAGTAGAGCTAATCTTTCCTTATAAGGTACCAACACTGGGGGCAGCTGGGTGGCACAGTGGATAGAGCACCAGCCCTGGATTCAAGAGGACCTGAGTTCAAATCTGGCCTCAGAGACTTGACATGTACTAGCTGTGTGACCCTGGTCAAGTCACTTAACCTCATTGCCTAAAAAAAAAAAAAAGGTATCAACACTTTCCTCAAGATATGTTTGGTTCAGGGAACTAAAGACTCAAATTGTTGATAACATTTCCTTATTACCCACAAAAAGCTCCAGGGCATTCTGATGTTTGGCTGGTAGGTGTCCTCCATGCCTATCCTGGTTGAATGTTCTTTTCTTGCTATGCTTAAGTAAATCTCCTTTTGTTAATGCTTAAATGACTTACAAATGTCTCATTTTGTTCAAATATCAAACCTAAATTAGCAGGGCACTCGCCTGAGTCAGGCTCAGCACAGAGCACTCTTAACATATATTAACTCATACTCTACTTCCATACTTAACCATTCTCAACTGAAACACATGCACCGTGAATACTACCTCTCTTTCAATACTGCCATGCATAACCAATACCATGCATACCAGCACTATGCCTACATCCTGAGAAATCTATCAGCAAGCTTTTTTTAAAATGACTCCTGTGTACTAGATTCCTAAATATCCACCAGGGGAATACCCTCCTGTAACTACCCCTCAAAAGAGCAAAAATCTTCTTACACAGGGGTAACATCTGGTGACTGTGTTCTCCTCTCAAATCACATGAGTCTTAAAATCTACCCCAGGTTCAAGGTATTCTGTATTAAGTTTTAGGTCTTTTAGAAAGGTAAGGCCCAAAAGTACTGTAAACTAAGGGGTTATCTGATAACTAGGGAATGGCTACACAAATTATCATATTCGAATATAAGGGAATATTATTGTGCCATGAGAAATGACAAAAGGGATGGATTCAGAGGAACCTAGAAAGACTTGCATGAACTGATGCAAAGTGAATTGAACAGAACCAAGGGAACAATTTATACATTGACTGAAACACTGTAAAAGATAACAACTTTGACAGACTTACAAACTCTGATAAATATCATGACCACTCCTGACTCAAGAAGACTGATATGGGACTCTAATTTTTTTTTGGCAATTGTTCCTTTCTGTGAATTTTTAAAAAACGTTTCACTGACATTCTTCTTTCTTCTTTTTTTTTTTGAAGCACTACAATTACCTCCATTTCCCCTCCCACATTACACTCTTTCAAATAAAAGTCTTACTTTTAAAGAGCTAGGTGTAGTAAAATGAACAGATTTATGTTGTATTGATTACAGCTAAAAATTTACACCTTATTCTACACTTCTAGTCCACCACTTCTCTGCCAATAGGTGAGAAGCATGTTCATATCAGTCTTCTTAGGGCAGCTAGGTGGTGCAGTGGATACAGCACTGGCCCTGGATTCAGGAAGATCTGAGTTCAAATCCATCCTCAGACACATGACACTCACTAGCTGTGTGACCCTGGGCAAGTCACTTAACCTCATTGTCTAGCAAAAACAAACAAACAGGGTTTTCCAGACTTCTCAACCCATGAACGCCAAGGATAGCCGAGAAGGTCAGTGGGAAAAGTCTGTTCTGCAGTGGTGAGAGAGGAGCATGGGGTCTCAGCTCCAGTTCCAGAGAGTGCAGCCCCAGGATGGCAGCTGTCTCCTGAACTTCTGGCTCACAGACTGAGGAGGAATCGGGTGGCTGATCAGAGGGGAATTTCAGGGATCTCTCTGCTGGTGCTTGGATTTGGGTCACAGTTCTGGGTGGCCGTCCTGGGGCGAGGAGGAGAGCTGGTGTGGTGGGAGCTTGTAGTGGCTGTGAAAAGGAAACCCTCACAGTTCCAAGACAGAAAAGACTGCTTGTGGTCACTCATAGACCAGAGCACAGGCCAGAAAAGGAGTAAACACCTCGCCCTTGATCATAGCACCTTGGAAGAACTGAAAATTTACAGGTCCCTGGAAGTGTCTCTGAAAATAGCTGCACAAAACCCCTGAAGCTTGGGATAGTACATTCTCCACAATGGAAACAAACCCCTACCTTAACAAAAAGTTTACAACTCAAAAAATTGGCCAGGATCATAAGCAAGCAGCGCAAAAAGAGTCAGACTATATTATCTTACTTTGGTGACAAAGAAGATCAAAAGTACAACCAGAAGACAACAAAGACAAAGCTCCTACATCCAAAGCCTCCAAGAAAAATATGAATTGGTCCCAGGCCATGGAAGAGCTCAAAAAGGATTTTGAGAAGCAAGTAAGAGAAATAAAGGAAAAACTGAGAGTGATGCTAAAGGAGACCCCCCAAAAAATACTAAAGAAAATAACACCTTAAAAAAATAGCGTAACCCAAATGGCAAAAGAGGTCCAAAAAGTCAATGAGGAGAATGCCCTAAAAAGCAAAATTGACCAAATGGAAAAAGAACTCCAAAAGCTTACTGAAGAAAATACTTCCTTAAAAATTAGAATGGAGAAATTGGAAGCTAGTGACAATTTGAGAAATAAAGGCACTGTAACACTAATCCAAAAGAATGAAAAAATAGAAAAGAATGTGAAATATCTCATTGGAAAAACAACGGACCTGGAAAATAGATCCAGGAGAGAGAACTTAAAAATTATTGGACTATCTGAAAGCCATGATCAAAAAAAAGCCTAGACATCATCTTTCAAGAAATTATCAAGGAAAACTGCCCTGATATTTTAGAACCAGAGGGCAAAATAGAAATTGAAAGAATCCACCAATCACCTCCTGAAAGAGATCCCCAAAGGAAAACTCCTAGGAATATTGTAGCCAAATTCCAGAGTTCCAGGTCAAGGAGAAAATATTACAAGCAGCCAGAAAGAAACAATTCAAGTATTGTGGAACCACAATCAGGATAACACAAGATTTAGCAGCTTCTACATTAAGGGACTGCAGGGCATGGAATATAATATTCCAGAGGGCAAAGGAGATAGGACTACAACCAAGAATCACCTACCCAGCAAAACTGAGTATAATCCTTCAGGGTAAAAAATGGTCATTCAATGAAATAGGGGACTTTCAAGCATTCCTGAGGAAAAGACCAGAGCTGAATATAAAATTTGACTTTCAAATACAAGACTCAAGTGAAACATGGAAGAGGTAAACAGGAAAGAGAAATCATAAGAGACTTATTAAGGTTGAACTGTTTACATTCCTGCATGGAAAGATGATATTTGTAACTCATGAGTCCTTTGTCAGTATTAGGGTAGTGGGAGGGGAAAAAAATTATATGTATGTATACATAGATAGAGGGCACAGGGTGAGTTGAAGATGAAGGGGTGATATCTGGAAAATAAAATTAAGGGGTGAGAGAGGATTATACTGGGAGAAGAGAAAGGGAGAAGTAGAATGGGGTAAATTATCTCACATGAAACAGACAAGAAAAGGCTTTTACAGTGGAGGGGAAATGGGGGATGGTGAGAGGGAATGAGTGAATCTTATTCTCATAGGATTTGGCTTAAGGAGGGAATAACATACACAATGGGATATGGAAATCTATCTTACCCTACAGGAAAATAAGGGGGAAAGGGGAGAAGAGAGCAGGGAGTTGATAAAGGGGAAGGCAGACTGCGGGAGGGAATAATCAAAAGCAAACACTTTTGAGGAGGGACAGGGTCAAAAGAGAGAATAGAATAAATGGGAGGTAGGACAGGATGAAGGGAAATATACTTAGTTTTTCACAGTAGGACTACTGTGGAAGTATTTTGCATGACTACACATCTGTAACCTGTATTGAGATGCTTGCCTTTTCACTGAGGGTGGGTGGGGAGGGAGGAAGGGAGAAAATTTGTAACCCAAAGTTTTAAAAACATGTTAAAAATTTTTAAAATTTAAAAAAAAAACAGAATGGTTGAATAAGTTCATAACTCTACCAACAATGTATTAGT